GGGAGGGTGGGGAGAGCTATCTGTGAGAATTGCTGTGCTATCAGCCTCCAAGGGCTGCAGCACCTTGGGGTGCTCTGAGCTAGAGGCTCAGAGACTTGCAGCCCAAGGAGAGTAGTAGCTTCATCACTCTACTTTCCCTCTGCTCTCTCTGGCTTATCTAAAATGATCAAGACCCCTCCAGATGCTAAATCAGCCCCCTCCCAAATCTAAAAGACAGTATGGTAGAAAGTCCAATGGACTAAAGTTAAAACCCCTGTTGCATTACTTACTAGCTGTGAAACATTAAGCACTTTAGTTAACCACTGAATCTGATTCCTCCTTTATGAAAGGGAAATAATGGTTCTACCCTCATTCATTAACTACATAATAACTAGTGGAGATTAACTATATAGTAATAAGTAATGTGGTTAGGCTAGTGCATGACATGTAATAGGCCCTCCCACTCTTCTTTCTTCTCCCTGCTTTTGTCAAAGACATCTCTTCCTTTTTGCAGCATGCTGCTTTAGTTTCCTCTCCTGTTCTGAACTTCCCAGATACCATTTGTTGAACACAGATTTTGCTTTGTCCTTAGACTCACTTCTGAATGGATCCTCCCAGACCCACCCGGCAGGTGCAGACATCGCCCCTGAACTCCCTCTCTGGTTCCTTAAAGAAGTTCTAACCTTCTCTGTCTCTGTGTTTTTAGTCCAGGAGCCTCCCTGTGCAGGATAGAGTGGATAAGGTCATTGTCAGCTTGGTTTAGCCTAAATGCTGCCCCAGATGGGTAGCAGAGTTGCGCAGCGGAAGCGTGCTGGGCCCATAAATGCTGTCCCAGTACTGCAGACAGGATGGAATTTGCCAGAAAAATGCTGTCCTGTGACCCTGCCTTACTTCATTAGCCAGACTGCTTTCTGCCTGATGGGTGTGCTTCCTGTCTTTCTCAGGTCCTTGTGCAGGCCATCAAGGAGGCAAAGGAGCAGCACCCAGACATGTCAGTGACCAAGGTGGTCGTCCACCAGGAGACTGAAATCTCTGAGGAATGAGCTCAGGTAGGGGCTGCTGTTGCTGCGGTGGAGGGTGCTCCCTATCCTAGCCTCGAGCACTGGCCACTCAGGGAACCAGCCCCCAGAGGTGTCCACCCTGGAGCTGGTTCAGTGAAGGCAGGGGAGAGGTTGACGAGGGCTACATAGAAGGTTATTAAGTATTTGGCTCCAACTAAAAGAGCTACGTCTCTGTGTCCTCCAGCCCTTAGCAGTGCCAGCAGTGATGGGCTGAAGGAGATACCCCAAATGTAGATGCAAACCCCCACCCACCTCCTGAACTTCATGCAGCCTCCTGCTTCTCCACCTCACCCACCTTCCCGTTCTCTCTGCTGCTCTGCTCTCTGCTGTCACAGAGAAGGGCCAGAGACCAAAACCAAGAAAAGCAGGGCCAGGCTATCTGGAAACAGAGGGGTTGGGGGACAGGGAAGAAATGGCTCAAGTTCTTGCAGCAGAGTAGAGAATTGGGAGCAGGGTAGCTGCTTTTTGGAAGACAGGGATCCTGATAAATTCATGCCTAAATTGAAGATGCCATCAATCCCCAGTCAGGACTGGACCCTGTAAAACCGCTCAGGCCCTGATTATTACTTGTGGCCACAAGAACTTGGTAATGGAACTGAGTAAGTCTCCTTTGCAGGATTTATCGACTTTGCTTTTCTTTCTCCTAGGAATCGTTTACCCCCGACTCCCTGCCTGTCTCCCATCCAAGAGAAAACCAGAGAAATGATAAAGAAGCTAACCTGTAATAGCCAGACTTCAGACTTTCAAGATTATTCTAAACCACCAGAAAATTAATTTCATTTTCTATTTGGAGTTTATACCAACGGAGTCTTCTAGAGATCACTGACCTTTTGAATACCTTTTTCTATATTGTGATACCAGAACTGTTACAACTTTTCACTCTACGGACTGTTTTTAAAGAGCTTTTTGGGTTTTTTTTATGCGGTGGTTTGTAACCCCTTCAACCTAGCCTCTCCCCATTTATTTCCAACCCAGACACTGACAGGGTCCACAGAATTCTTCTGGAAAACCTCCAAAGACTCTGTCAGCTGTGTTGGGGGCCAAAGCCAGCTTAATGGGGCTGTCCTGCTCTCCCCTAGTTTTGTACCCTTTGGATGACAGCAGAAACTTTAGAAACCAGCCCTTTCTCAGAACCAATGACGTAACTTTACCAGAATGTCAGGCAGGGTGCAGCCCTGACTCACAGACCCCAGAAAAGTGTCCCTGTCCCTTTGTGGGGGGTGGTTTGGGTGAGGCAGAGACCTCTGCAAAGAATGTAGTGTTTCCTTTTCCTTCCTCCCTCCTGTTCTTTCTTTTTGGAGCTTCTTTAGATCAAAGATATAAGAAGTTGCTCAGCTATATCTGATACTGTGAATGTTTTAACAGATCCGTGGCCTTCACCTTCCTGTCCTCCCTCCCCTTTTACCTCATCAGAAGCAATGGCTCTGCTAAGTGCTCCCTCCACCTCCCATCTCAGGAGAGCAAAACTCACAGAAAAATAGGCACTTTTGGCTGAAAGCACTAATGGCACATTTTTAGTGGTGTTTTGGGCAAAGGAAATGAATGAAGTTTGTGAAAGGTTTTCTAGTTCTGGAAATGTGCACCTCACACAGGGGAATGGTGGGGTTTACCTCGGTCAGAGCCTGCTAAGAAGTACTTCCAGGTGACCATTCCTGGGCCTCTTCTGTAATCCCGGGATGATAGGGAATGTGACTTAGAAGGAGGCTGTGTTCCTTGCCTGTCTTCTTCCCACCAACACCCACCTGCAAACACCCTTCTGGAGCAAACAAGACCCCACATGCCAGGGGGTACATGTACCAGCTCTACTCCTTTCCACTCGCCATCTGAGGTCTGCCAGGTTTTGTAGCTTGATTTTTATGGTAGATTTGGGTTCTTTTGTTTTGGTTTGAAAATGAGGACTGATGTCCCAGTTCCACCATTCCTGGTATGGATTCGGGGGCATTTTTATTCAGTGGGGCTTCTCTAATCTTCTAGCTTGCTTCCCACAAACATCTGCCTAATTCTAGGACAGAAGTGAATTCATGAGACAGACGGTGGGTTGGAGTCCACAATCACTGGGGGCTCAAGGGCAGTGAGCAAGAGAGAAGTCCGACTCCTCTGCTCCCACGGTGGGAGCAAGTGGCATGTGTCCAGTCTCTGCTGGCTGCATTTTGTTTAGATAGACTCAGTTGGTTTGAACTGACAAGTGTATGCATTTTTTTTTTAAGTAGTTAGGTGGAATTATTACTAACCAACAGGCAGCTCTCTAGGGAGGCACAGGAAGAGCTCAGGTGGGTTGTGTGACAGGCTTGGGGAGGCTGTCCTGTCTCAGGAACAGACTTAGGCCTATGGGCATAGGGTAAATGGTGGGACTTCATGGTTGGTCCCCAAGCCTGGGTGGTGCTGAAGTTAGACGTCTAGCTCATATCCAGCAACCATATAATATGAGCTCAATTCCCAGTGGCCAGATGTCCTCCTGAAAGCCACCATGGCCCCCAAAGCTGTAACCTGTGGAATGAAGAGGGTGGGGGAGAGGAAGAGGGCATAGCAGTGCATTAGAAATCTGGCAGACTGGATATCCTGTGCCATTCAGACCAGTGTGGCAGCTTTCAGAGCACAGGACCATGAATCAGGCGGCCTAACCTTTCCTTCAGCTCTGTCACCAACTCCGTACACTTCTCCTCACTGCTTCCTTGTCTATAAATTGGACCAGAAAATCTATGATGCCCTTCTAGCACCGAGAAATCATGATTTGGACAAGCTAGCAAGAGGGGTGTCCTTCCAAGCCTCCTTCCCTCTCCTCCCTCTCTGGTAACAGATCTTGGGGTTTGGCAATAGTTTGGATTTTTTTCTTCCTGCAGTTGTGTGTGTGTGCATGTGTGTGTGTGTGCGCGCGCATGAAGAAAAGCAGACTCTGTCCAGGTGGAAATGAAGAGGGGAGGGACTTGGCAGCAGTTTTCCTAAAGTGACTCAGACACATCACAGTAACAACTCTCACTGCAATTTTATTTTTATTTCACTTGAGAAATAAAGACTTCCTGCAAGCCACATGAGGTCTCTGCCACCCACCCACCCACCACGCTGGACCTGCATTTATAAGCTGAGGGCCCACAGAGCCTGGCTGCAGGGACCGGTCAGGGCATCTTTGCCCCTCTTCCCAGCCCACCCCCCCGTGTTCTGCACGGCAGCTGAGGAGGAGGGGACAACAGTCCACCTTGGGAAATGGAGCCAGAGCTATGGCCTTCCCAACACCAAGGAATGCTCATAGGAAATGTCTGCCCAAGATCTCAGCCCCAGGCTGGTGGTTTTACAAATCTCTCTCAAATGTATTATTTTGGTGACAAAAATGAAGGAGCTTTGTAAAATTTTAAAAAATTATGAATCATATCAAGTAGTTGTTTACATTTCTTGACAAAATAAGAACTATGGCAGCAGAATCAAATTGGCAAAATCCTTAGATTAAATAGGCAATAATTAGGTCTGCTGTTTTGGCCTTTTGTAGTAAGAGAAGTGGTTGTAGTGTTTAGATATGTGTTTGGTCTTGCTTCTTGTACTGCATTTTTCAATAAACTTAAAAAAAAAAAAAGACTGAATCTGTGAGGATTGATCAACTTTTAAAGTTCTCTTCCCCTTTTGCTAAAAAGTAAGCTACCCACATTGGCCAAAATGTAGCTTCAATGTTGTATAAAAGGATTTCTGAGAACTGGCAAATCCTTTTTGCCAGCTGAAGGGAGAGTCTGCAGCATAGACCAGGACGAAGGAGAGAAGGGGCTTCTCAGACCTGTCGGGCGGGCCAGGCCCTCAGATGAGGCAGTGGCAGTAGGGTGGCCCTGGGAGGACAGGCCCTGCATGGCCGAGAAGAAGGGGCTTGCGGTGGACGTCAGAGGCTGTCCCCGTCCCCGCTGGCAGGGAAGGGTCTCAGCTGTACCCCACTGCCCACCTTTCTGGAGGCCCAAACCCATCACCAGAGCCACCGTGGAGGGAGCCTGTCCCAACCTGTAACATCTCAACCTACCTTCCAAGTCTTAGGGGTCCTTGCCCACCACTTGGGTTTGCCAAGACACCGGGGACATCTCCCAATCACCCGGCCTGGACCGCCAGCCTCCTCAGGTGCCTGCTCAGGGCTAAGGCCGCTTTGGAGGCTGAAGGAATTCCTGAGGCCGTCATGCTGGTCTCCAGAATCCACACAAACGCCTTCCAGCTTATTGAATCCTTGTGCAGTTGGCATTTCTCTGCTGACATGCAAGTCAGGACGCCTTAGGCGCTGCGGGGGCCAGAGCATCCATTCCCCGGTCTGGGATGTGACTGAAGCATCTACTAGACATTGGGACTCCTGGTCCAGTTGCCACGGTCCACGCTGCAGCCTCATAGCAGGCTGTCCCGTGATCCTCAAACCTGAGCCCCCAAGTCCCCTCCTTCTCCCAACTTGGCATAACCCTCCAGACTGAGGCGGTCCAGCCGCGGCCAGCTCCGGTGAGCACAGTCCCGAGCTGCGGGCGCACCGAGCAGGAGCTCTCCAAGGCCCAGATCCAGAGACTTGGAGTGTTCAATGCAGGACCCGGAGGGCTGCACGGTGATTATCACATGGCCAGTCTGAGTCCCTGGACCCCAAGGTGGAGGTAGCCCCGGGCCCTTCAGCGGATAACTGTTGAGCAGGGCAGGTAACCCCAAGCGGGGATTAGCAGGCTCTGAACGCAGACTCCGCACTGAGGGGACAGGGGAGGTGCCCCGACGCGGGGACAAGTCCCAACTCTCTGGTTCCACACAGCCTATGGCTCGGGGAGTCCCGGGGCTGGGGAGGAGGGCGCAGTCCCAGCCTGGGCCGTCGGGGGGCCGGAGCGCCTGATCCCGCAGCACCCCCTCGCGAAGCCGTCTCGTCTCCAAGTCGCGGTTCTCGTAGAGCAGCGTGTTGGCGCAGATGAACACGAAGAGGCCGACGCCCATGACCACGGGCCCAAGGAGCCGCATCCGCTCGTGCGGGCCGTGAGCCCGGCCGGCACCGCGACCCTCGCGTCGCAGCTCGCTCACGGGGGGAGCGCTCGCATTCGCAGCTCGCGACCCCGGGGCCCCGGCACGGTGCGGCCAGTAGCCGGCCACCGCGATGCCCATGCCCACCAGTACC